TGTCAACAAATGGAAAAGTCAGCCATCTATTAATTATCATGTTAATTACTGTGCGCCTTTAGCCCCAACAGCAGGGGCTCTTTTTTTTTACCCCAAATACCATACTTTTACATATTCTTTCGTTATTTAAAAACTGTTGCTTTAAGTATCTTAAACCAAACTGAAAATCATAAAGTAATATATGCCTTAATTTTAGCGATTCTTGTTTGCTACTTAAATCTACAACATTTTAAAAAACATAAAATATTAGATTAAGTAAGCACAGAATCAACTTTGCGCTGCTGCGCGCGATCACGTCAAGGGTCAGACAATTATACACGTGCATCTTGAAAAGCGGATGTTTTGGAAAGTGCTACGCCACGTTTTTGTGCCATCTAGTGGTTTAGATGAAAATAATATCAAAGACGCCTTTAGCCCCGTTGTACCCTACTGTTCAAAAGTCTGGGGTCAGAAGGATTTTTTAAAGAAATTAATACTTTTATTCAACAAGAATTGCATTAGAGGGATAGTTCACCCAAAAAATGAAAATACACCCTGAAGTTGTTACAAACCTGTATGAGTTTCATTCTTCTGTGGAACACAAAAGAAGATATTTTGAAGAATGTGAGTAAACACTTGATGGTAGCCACTGACTTCCATAATATGGAAAGAATACATCAACTGTTTGGTTATTAACATTCTTCAGAATATCTTCTTATGTGTTCAACAGAAAAAAAGAAACTCATACAGGTTTGGAACAATTTGAGGCTGAGTAAATGATGACAGAATTTTTATTTTGGGTGAACTATCCCTTTAAATTGATCAAAAGTGGCAGTAAAGACATTTACAATGTAATCGATCTGAATTCTTCTGAATCTTCTATTCATTAAAGAATCCTGAAAAATGTATCACATTTCCATAAAAATATTACACAGCTGTTTTCAACATAATAATAATAATAATTCATAATAATAAGAAATGTTTCTTGAGCACCAAATCAGCACATTGATTTCTGAAGGATCATGTGACACTGAAGACTGGAGCAATGGGTGCTAAAAATTCAGCTTTGCCATCACAGGAATCAATTACATTTTAAAATGCATTAAAACAGAAACCTGCTCTTTTAAATTGTAATAATATTTCACCATATTACTGTTGCACTGAATTTTTAATCAAATAAATGCAGCCTCTGTAAGAATACAAGACTTCTTTCAAATAATTACAGACCCCAAAATTTTGAACAGTATATTTGTTAAAAGAAAAATACCGTTTTTATGCATTGGAAAAATTACATGGCCAGCGAACAGGTTATAATGAACAAGGTTAGCTATTTCAGCTACACCCATCACTAACAGCATAAAATCAAGAACATAGTCGTCCAATTTACTTAAACATTTTAGTAGAAATGAGTGTACCAAAACCCCTTCGGGGGTCAATAAATGAGAAGTCCATAAAGAAATTATTTATGAGTGAGTGAGTTTATGAATAGCCTGCACAAAGCCCAGACCTGAACACCTTTCGAATGAATCGGAAAGCTGACTACGAGCCAGAGATGCGCTTCTGTGTGAATAGAAATACATCCCTGCATCCATGTTCCAACATCTAGGAAAGCCTTCCCAGGAGAATGGGAGCGGTTAGGAAGGACTAACTGATAATTCCAATGGTTTTGAAACCAAATGTCCAATAATCAGGTTGTTTTGTTCAGGTGTCCACATTCTTTCAGTCACATAGTTGGTTATAAAACTGTACAGTTAATCTAGATGTCGTTCCATAGCTTTGTACAAATTGGCCAACAAATCATTCTAACGACATTCTATGCATACTCACAATATTTATCTGTTGTCTACTTCAGTGGTTCATAATTATATACGGTGAACTGCCAGAAATGTGATGTTTCATTGTAATAGAACAATCCGTACTGATGCTGGTCTGCTATCTAACATGACATTGCTTGAATAGCGGTTACTCAAAAGTTACACTTGATTTCTCTCTAATGAACTGATAATAGAACCTGTGTCAGTGAATGCTAGAACATATTCAGAGACCACCTGCTACCTTTATTACTTTGAATGAGCCTGGCAGTTTATTAGATCTGCAGGCTGCTTTCTTTATGTCCCCCACAGGACATCTGCTCTGGACTCGTTAACTGACAGCTTAATTGATAACCCGCTTCATTAATCAGCTACGCTTAGTTATTATTAGTGAATTGAAGAAAAACTCATTTTGACATGTAAAGGAAGGTGCACCTTCAAGTCGTGTGTTAGGTGTCCATTCTGACTCATACAAAGGTGGGATTAAAAAAAAAACTCGACCTGCAAATACAAATATCGGTCATAGCGATCACCTTGCCAAGATAGTGATGGTATTCCGATTTCAGAATCAAATCTTTCTCCGATATTGTGACTCATATCAGTAAACAGGATTTTTTACATAAATATCTACACTATGCTTCTTGCAAATAAAAAACAAATGACTCATTTAACAAATGCAATGCAGCATATAATAAACCAGATTAAGGTTAAGGTGATCCAATATGAAACACCTAAGCTACAAACACCACTGCATTAAACTGCTGTCACCTTCAATGACTCAGACTAGGAAAGCAAACTGTGCAAGTCAACAATGGAGAAATACAAACAGCAACACCAACATTGAAAACAGGAATTAAGATACAAATCACAAGCAATCTGATCCTTGCATTGTGTACGCAAGCTATGCGTAGTGTGCATCATGCTGTGCCCTTGACATTGTATGTTTCCTATAGGATTTAATCATGAGCACGTTGTCTACATAGGAATCTGCATAATTATTTAACAAACATCTAGTTGTGGTATCTCCGATGTGGCATGCATAGAATCAAAATGACTCGAATGCATTTCGAATAAATAACGTCGTGTGAAATGGTTAAGAGGTCCCTGTCGTATGCAAATTGGTCAGTGTGTCAATCACGCATTTCTAATTTGCATTACGTCCGTACGGGACTGTGAACGTGCCACGGTGACCTTCAGTTAATTGATGAAATGAACTCTATAATGGCTGTCCAGAAATCATCATCTACTGTAATCATTTGAATGTCCTCGATTAGGTTGTAAATAGCAGCAAATGAGCGGCCGGCAAAGAGTGAATGTATGACAGCCGAAGCACAGTGCAAAACACAACGGGTGACATTTCGCAGCGTTTTTCTGCTTTAACCTACAATCAAGGTGCTTCTTCTTGGGCGCGCTGGCTTCGTGCGTCGTGGCCTTGCACACGGCTTTGCTGATGGCAGATCCGGTCATGCTGTGCTGAGCCGCGGCGATCCGGTCAGTGATGGACTGTCCCGACATATTACGATTTTCAATAAATCGTCTCTCAAACAGATCTATTCGCTGCAGGGGTGTGTGGGAGCCCGCTCCGTGGGCTTAGTCGGTCTTGCAGAGAGCGCTACCCTGATACGAACCGGACACGGGCGAGGATGCTCTGACATTCAGATAACGGCAATCACCGCGCGCTGAAACGATGACAATATAATGACCGATCGTTATTTAAATAGGCCTACCCGTTAAGCACGCGCAAAAAGGACACTATGTTACTCGCTAGCCCCCGGTGTTGCCGGTTAACCATGTAATTGCTGTTTGAACGAAGCTAACTACGATCTCGGCGAACGAAAATGAAAATCGGAGCGTTCTCGACGTCTAGCCGCGGAAAATCTCGCCCTGCTTCATTGCATGCGCGGAGTCGGTGCATCAGGGAATTTGATACCAAGCATCATTCTCCAAATTCCTTCAGCGGCCTTACGCGCGTTATATAAACGCATGCGCTACTGAGAATACGAAATATTATGTGGATATTATCCCAGTCGAACAGTTGCAGCAGTGGTCCTAAATGTGAAAATTCAGCATCTCGTTTGATGAAGCAACAATTCCAATTTCCTATAGTTAACAGTCGGACGCTCCGCGCAAAATGGCAGTATGAGAATCAGGTGACTGGAGAGGGGGGCGATTGGCCTGTGTCAGAATATCTGGGGTGGGCACCTTAAGGTGGAATTTCCGCACTGCTTTAAACCCCCTCTGTACATAAGAATGCATCAGACGGCCATTTCAGAGTCTTTAATGGTGCGTCTTGCCTCTTTTCATTGCACAACCCTGAATTGCGCAGGGCTACAATATCATATTCAAGAGCTTACATGAGGGAAAATACTGTATGCTTTATTTGTTAATGCAAGAGGTTGCATGATAACATTCCTAGATACTGTAGCTGTGCAAGTATTAAGGCATTTTGTGTGCACAACATCATAGTTTTTTTAATCTTATATAGGCTAACTGAATAAGAGGTCACTTTTAATAAATATTACATGCTCAAAGAGTCCGCACACAAAACAGCAAGAAATGCATAATTGACCTGGACATGTGTCATAAAATACTTGGTACTTGGCTAAAATAGCAGAGCATTCACCTGTAAACAGGACACTGATGAGTGAAATCCTTGAAACTTGAAGTGTCACCAACACAGTGTTATCTAATGATGTGAGATTTCACGCTACATATAATCAGCACAATCCTTCTTCACAGTCCCCGCCATTTTGTTGCATTTCTTGTGTCTTGAAGATGAATCTCATTGTTTTGGGATTACCATTAAATGGCTGAGTCCCCTTAAATCTATAACAAACTGCAACATATTTATTTTATATTTACTTTCATCCTCCTGTATTCAAAATTTGGAACACGCCGTGCATTTGGCTCGGACCCGTTCTTTTGTGTTGTTGTTGTACCCGGGGAGGGCCACCACATCTGGGTCTGTGTTGCTGGTGATGTTCTCTTCATGGGCTAAAATGTGATCCACCAGACATTTAGCTGCCGCCTCGATGTTTGTGTTCTCCTTCAGTGGGCGTAAAATCAAACACAAAGAATATGGGAGTCATTCAGACAATAAGATCACAAAGCCCTATATTACAGCCACATACATCACTGTTGAAAAGTTTGGGGTTAGTAAGATTTCTGAATGTTTTTGAACATTAAACATCAAGAATATGAACATTAATGTATCTTATGCTCACCAAGGTTACATTTATTTGATCAGAAATACAGTAAAACTAATATTGTAAAATATTATTAATATTTAAACTGTTTTTTATGCTTCTGAATCAGCTTCTGTTTTGTTATTAGTTTAAGTATTTGCTATTGACTGTTCAAATGTGCATCGTGTGTGTGTGTGTGTGTGTGTGTGTGTGTGTGCGCACGCGGCGGAGTTTTGCGCATCGTGTGTGTGTGTGTGTGTGTGCGTGTGTATGTGTGTGCGAGCAAACGAGCTAGAGAGAGAGAGAGAGAGAGAGAGAGCGAGAGAGAGCGGTGTGTGTGTGTGTGTGTG